CGGGGAGCGGCCGCTGGCGCCCCGCCGAGGGGGCCTGAGGCCACCCGCCTGCTCTCGCCCTTCCTCCGTCCCGCTTGTCATTCCTCCTCCTCCTAAAATTACCGGCTGTGACGCCACGTTTTCAGGTTTAGGGACAAGGTTTTGAGGATGGCTGCAGCTGCATAGATTAAAGAAAATAAAAAGCAGCAGGTAAAGCCCGGACAGCAGATGCCCCGCCCCCTCGAGGGCCCTCGGGGTTTGATTTTATGTTACGTAGCTTCTATTATTTTAAACTTCCTTTTGAGAAATCTCGGGCTGTCACAGGGCAGCGGCTCTGACGCCCTTTTCACCTGGAGCGGTTTCTCCCCACACGGGAGGCAGTGGAGCCAGGACAGGCCTGTCCACATCCCAGAGGCTTCTTGCTGGCTGTGCTACCCTGGGCGAGCCAGTTTACCTTCCAGTCCTCAGTTTCCATGCCTATAAAATGGGAAAACAACTAGGGCTGGAGTCAGAATAAAATCGGAAAGTTTCCGAAGCATCTAGTCTAATCCCTGGTGTATGGTACGTGCATAATAAAAACAGTAACTGCTATTATTTTAAATGCATTGAATCACCCTGGCCGGTTTGGCTCAGTGGTTAGAGCATCGGCTGGCAGACTGAAGGGTCTGGGATTGGATCCCAGCCAAGGACACGCTCAATCCCTTGCCCCAGTCCGGTCATGTNGGCCGGTTTGGCTCAGTGGTTAGAGCATCGGCCAGCAGACTGAAGGGTCTGGGATTGGATTCCAGCCAAGGACACGCTCAATCCCTTGCCCCAGTCCGGTCATGTGTGGGAAGCAACCAGTCAATGTCAATGTGTTTCTCACATTGATGTTTCTCTCCCTCTCCCCCCCCCACCTCCCTCTCTTCTTTCCACTCTCTCTGAAAAGCAATGGGGGAAAAAATATCCTCAGTGAGGATTTAAAAATAAATAAGTGTATTGAATCAAAATCACCCTGGCAATTAAGCAAAGGAGGAGATGCCAAGGCCCCAAAGAAAGCGGTCACAGACCCTGTGGGAACAGGGAGACTCGAGCCTGGCTCAGAGCCATTTCCAGGGCTCGGCCTCTCTGTGCGGGTTTGTCCGTCGCTGGGGTTTCCCTAACACCCCTGGGCTCCCGAGGAGCTTGTGACGTGACTCTAAGGTGCCTTGGAACTAAGACTCTGCACATGACTCAGGTGTGCCTTATTATCAACAGCTCCAGGCATGATGAACCATAAAGGTCAGAGGAGCTTTGTAAACGAAGCTTTTATGCTTAGAAGCTTTGTGCTCCATCATGAAACCAGTTTCCCAGAGGTGAACCCGGGCTTTGGGAAAGTGCCCGGCCGCGTCGGAGAGTGGCCAAGGTGGCACCCACACCGACAGGGCAGCGCCCCCGAGGGAGGCAGGGCTGATCCTCTGCACCCTGCGCCCGCGACGGGAGGAAATGGCCTTGGCTCCAGCTCTTCTGGGCTTCTGAGCGCTCTGCCCATGGCCTCTGTCCTGTTGCATCTGGACCCAAGGGTCAGCTCCGGGGCAAGGTGGTGATTTTCCAAATGAGTGTGTCCGAACTGACCAGGCCTCTCTCCCTGGACCCTCTCATTACTGCCACTGCGGGAGCCGCCGTGGGAGACCTGGCTCCAGGTTGGTTTCGGGGGCAACGTCTGAGAAATGGAGATTTCCGACCTGAGCTGAAGGAAACAGGGCGTTCTTGTTGAGGCTCGGAACAGGGGAGAGACGGGGGAACCGACAGGCCCCTGCTGACTGCACTGAGGACCCCGTCAACGGGTAGGGGGCTGTTCTTCCAGCAACGTCAGCCACCCCAAACCCTCCTCTAGGCCTTTGAGAGAAGACCATAGACTTCTGAGTTCTACTGAGGGGCAAGCACGGGCCTCACAGTTGACAGGCCTCAAGTTCCAGCTCCGTGACCTTCTGAACCTGCTGATTTGCTTGTAAATGGTACCTGGGATTGAAGGAGCACTTTCTTTTGAGCGCCGGACACAGAATAGGGACTCGTCCTTTGCCCCCATCTACTTGCTCCTTCTGGGCCCAGCATCTCAGGTCCTTCTCATCTCTTAGGAGGTGCTGTTTGCAGGGAGGGAGACAGGGGCTCGGACAGGAGATGTGTCTCCCTCAAGGTCAGAGCACTAACAAGAGTGAGTGCTGGCACTAGAACCGTCCGCAACGTTTTCCAGACATCAGCTCCATGTTTAGAT